GGTCTTCAAGGTTCATCCACGTTATAGAGTTTGTCGGAATTTCCGTCCTTTTTAAGGTCAAATGATTGTGTTGACTTAAAGATGCTGCAGTCTCAGTTGATGGCCTCATAGTTTGAGTCTTGCTATAAAACTTCATGCTTAACAAGGCTTTGAAAACCAACTCATTTCATTAGTACCTAAGTAGCTGAAAGTGTTGCTGCATATTTATTGTAGCTGGTGAAAAAAACATAGATGTTTTAAATAAAAATTATCTTCACAGAATGGTATCTTAAGTTGAAAACTATATGTTGGCATCCTTGCAAAGAGATAGTATTATTTGATTAACACTTGTGATTGTAGAATCACTCATACTCTATGATTTCTGGCATCTGAGTGACAAGGCACATAAATAGGCCTCACAGGGAGGTCTACAGATAATTTCACACCCCAAGGTTACTCACTGAAATAACCAGATCAAAAACCAAGCAGCTGAATTCTCATCAAATTCCTCCCACCCTCTTTTACTAATCATCTTGCTAAAAAGTTTTTAAACTCGCATCATAAACTATCAGATTTATGTGTTGATTAGTTTATTCAGTGGACATATTTATTTGCTAGAATTCTCTAAGTTAGCTGTAATCAATAAAGAAATATTATGAGGTATAAAAGAAAGCATAGCATTTGTTCAGGAGAAATGAGGCTCTTCTGGCCATGTAAACTTTAAAAATGATTACTTCAATCATATTTTGTAACTGTGGGTGTTGTGATACACGTTCAGTTATTCTGGAAGACTTTATAACGTTTCCTTAGAATCTGGACTTATTGACAGTATTCTACAGTGTTATCAAGAGATGGAATAAGCACAGTAAGCCACTCGTAACTTTTTAAAATTTATAAGTATTAATTTTTAAGCTGGGTCTTCAACTTTTAAGGTAGCATTCCTCTCCTAGTGACTACATTTCCTCAATGTCCTTTGAACCATTATAGTATAGGATGAGAAAGGAACTAAAGGGGGAATGGAACATTTTTGATCACAGGAGAAAAATGATCTGGAAATCATAACAACAGATGAAGATGCCAGAAAGAAGAGCTTGTAGGATGAGGTGGAAAACAAAATACTGGCCCCTGAAGGCTCTGTTAAAAGTGACTTTTTGTAAGAATTTTGTATATCATGCCTGTCATAAACATTCAGCTTCATTGTGCAATGAAGACAGATGACAAGAATTTGCTGCTCCAACAACCAAAAAAAAAAAAAAAAAGCAACTTCTCTGTGTCCTTGGAACCTGGTTTCTTCAGTTCCAAACATGCAGTGAAAACTTGTGCCTGTAAGAGCTGGGGGCAGTTGTTTATGTAACTACTTGAACATCTACATAAATATGAGCATGGGAGAAGCTTCCTCTATTCTCATCAGCTGTTCTAACGTGAAGAGGCATGCAGACTTGAGAGACGTGCACAGTTTAGCTGTCTTACGTTGACTCTCTTACATAAGCTTCAAGGTCATGAAGTTTTCACCATTTTGTTTCCAAATCGTAGGAGGAAAAAACAAGTTTTACGAGTACCTTATCAGGGTGGGGAAAGGGCTGGGGAAGGTTTTAGGTTAGCAGAAAACTTTTGTAGATCAGACAAGGATGGTAGTTGTGAGGAAGAGATTAAAGGCAGAGGAACTGGTGGAGAAATATCCTGAGGAAAGAAGATTATAACAGTAGATGGGGAATTGACAATAGCCAGGAAGAGAGGCAGACCTTTCTTGGAGGCAGAAGATAAGTAAAAAGCCAAGAAGGAAACAGAGATGACTTTTGACATTGAGAAAAAAAAAAAAAAAAGCCAAGGGAACTCAGACATCTTATTGCAAATGAGGAGGTGATGTCTCCTTTTGCAGAAGAATGGGTGGAACTTGGGTTTTGGGGTGGCTTGGCCTACCCCAAGTGGGGGAGGCAAGGTGGAGATTGGAAGAAGTGATGTATCCTTTTGCAGAAGAATGGGTGGAACTTGGGCTTTGGGATGGCTTGGCCTACCCCAAGTGGGGGAGGCAAGGTGGAGATTGGAAGAGATGAATGAAGGGATAATCACGAAGTGATAGGGAGTCACCTGGGATGATGTAGACTCATAGTGGGACATAAGAACCTGTGCTTGGAGGATGTATTTAAAATCTTGGAGATGGGGTAATCTTTTGTGGTCATTATATCTAAGGCAGCACATTGTGAGTGCCAACAGAGGCCACTTTAGTTGAGTAGATTGAGGACATGCAAAGCCAGGGTATTAAAGCCACCTACTGGTTTATGGAAGCCAATGAGAAGGCAAACAAGAGATACAGGAGAGAATTCAAAATTTTCACTGTTATATCTTAATAACCCTCAACTAACCTAACGATGCCTCATCTGCGTGATAAAAACTTTGAGCACAGACATGATATAACTTTCAGAACCTTCTAAGTAGCATTTGACTTAGCAGAGCAAGGTGTTTTAGTTTAAAATCCTATCCTAGCATTGGATCTGATACGTCATGGAAATGAGGGTAGATGAATATGAGGAGGTGGAAGAACCAAACCACTGTGTCCATTCCTATAGGCACCGATGTCAAGGCAAAGTAATTGTCTTTGCCTCTGGGTCTAGCAGAGTCCTGTATACACCTTCTGTTTTGGTTTTTAATCTGGCCTGAGGAAGTAGAAGTCCCTTGGCTAGTAATTGGGTTATAACTCTCTCTTTATAAATCATTCTCATAAAATCTTTGAGAACCCACGAGCAGGGTCTTTTTAATTTGTACCTCTCTACATCTCCCTTAGTTGCTGGCATGTATGTAGTGTTAAAAAATATATCCATAAAATGAATGAACAGATAAGTTGTGCTCTCTAAGAGTCCGTATTTCTCTAGAATACAATTTTTGTGGGGTTTTAAGCTTCTATGAACCTCCTCCATTCTTGTTCCACTCAGCATATTTTTTTGAAAGATACATAGATATCATCTAACTGTAAACACAAAGTGTTTGCACTGGCCCCTGGAGGCAAGGTCTACTTCTTCCCACCAAGCCTGCCCTGGGTCCTCTGCTCTTAATTTTGCTGGTACCTGGACTGATAATCACCCTGCTCAATTGATTGTGCCTCCTACAACAATAGTGGAAGCCATAAATAAGAGGTGAAGTGGAGAAGCCTGGATAAATATAAAGAAGGCTGCATAACTATGATGATGCCTGTAGTAAGTGACACAGTCTCAGCTTGAAATCACCACTCCTGCTAGATGGAGGTCACAGCTTTTTGCTGTCTTGGGACTACTGGTTACCAAGAATGTAACCAGTCCAGTCAACGCCTTTGTGTGAGTTAATGAAAGGTGTCCCTCTACAGAGGCAGAGGCAGCCTACACCAGAGTGCCTGGCATGGTGAAGCAAACGGGCTGGATGTCAGCCTCCACGGGACCATTTGGGTGGGTAGGCACCTTGTGCAGTGAACAACCTGCATACCTGTATTCTTTGCCCCTGCTAGTTATGCACTGTTTTGGGCCTAGGTCTCCTGGGAGGTTTCCTACTCAGTCCTGAAGTAAGAATTACAGTCCCAGTCCCATTTGCATTCTAAAAATTGTATATAAGTTTCCCAGTCCAAATTGTACCTTGGTAACAATGAGGAGATATAGAGGAACAGAGCCCGGGGTGTGCAGGTTGTGCTGTGATTACATGTTTGCATCACTTTGAACATGCACTTTTCCCTTCATGTAACAAAACGAATAGAATAACTCTACATGAAAGGCTTTTTCTGCTACATAAAGGCAAACTCTAGTTGTCTCCTCACATTCATCTTTGGGGTTTAGTGCTAGCAAGTGTAAAATTTACATATATAAGATTTACTTACATGCTAGCTGTACCAGTCCAATGAAGCGATGGGGCGGGGGGAGGGGAGAAGGAAGGATGAATTTCCCTCATTTCCTCACCAGTCAAGTCTGGGTTTCCAGGACTCTTTTCAATGCAACTGTGCTAAATCAGGCAATGAGTCTTGGCGTTTCAGTGAGACAACCTGATTAAACCCTGGGCGGGTCCTGCTATCTCACCCCACCAGCTGGATCTCAGATTGACAGTGTTCAGACATGGCTTATGGGGGCTGTCAGAGTTGGAGGGGGTTGAGGTCCAGTGGAGGTTGTGACTCTGCCAAAATCTGAAACCATATTTTCTGGGCATGACCAGTTTCTAAACCAGAAAAAGTGGCTTTGTGGATCTGACCAAAGAAGCCTGTCAATTTTTTTTTTAAGACAATAGCAGGTTAGGATGAGTGCAATGAGGGTTGGATTCAGTGAGTAGAGGCCCATCTTTAAATCCATGAGATTTACTTTCCATGAGACTGGCCCCCCCTTTGCCACCTTTACTGTGGGAGTAATTTCTTAAAATGTTTCCAAGAAACTTGTGAGGCTGGATTTGCTTCTGTTGCAGGGCCCCATATGTGTTTTCCCTTGGGAAAGATAAAGTTTCCAATTAAAGGAAGAATTCCCTGGCTATTTCTTCACTATTACTCTTTCCGAGTGAGATGTAGCTTACAATTGCCCAATGTCAGCCAAGACTCAGCACCCATTCTTGACCAGTAACCACGATTCCCGCACCTCTACCCCATGGGGTGGTAAGACAAGATCTGGGTGAGTCCTGCTCATTGCTTGACTTGAACCAAAACTATAGGGCCCTCTGTGGACCAGGAGACCTCAGCTTTTAATGGGAAAGTCAGTAGGAGTTCAGTAAAGGGGTCTGGTGGGAAGCCCCGCTTGGCCTTCCCTACTTATAAAATCTGTAACACATGTTGACTAGATTCAGAAATATGTCATTGCCTCATAACTTTTTGAGGTTCCAACTTCTGGGGCCCCCAGGAGAGGAACCGTTGTTATGATAAGATCAGGATTTGGGACTAGCAGCTGAAGCCATTCAAGGCCTCTCCTCTCTGTGTTGTCTGCATTGCTTTCAGGCAGCCACAGAGATCAGGCTGCTCTCAGACTGACAGCCCAGGCAGCCTTGCCATGTAGAAATGAAGTAAACAACTAGATTTTGTTCCCCAGGAGAATACGTTGATGACCATGGCCACTGCCAGACCTGTGAGGCCTCATGTGCCAAGTGCCGGGGACCCACCCAGGAAGACTGCACTACCTGCCCCATGACAAGGTAAGTGGCTTCTCAGGATCTCCCGGTGGTGTGAGCTCATGGATTGCAGGGTGGAGAGAGGAGGTGCTCACCACCTTAGCGGCACCCCATGGGTCTGCAGTGAGAAAGAACCAAACTCTTTCCCACTCCACAGATATTCTCCTTGGTCTGGGCACAGCCCAGCTCTGTAGTATCCTCTCCCCATGACGCCCAGTCCCCATCACAAGGACCAGTTCCCTGGACATGGAGCAGATTTCCTCACCAATGAATAGGGTGCCTTTGATGCCACTTTTGATGCCTGAAATCTCATCCTTTTCTGCACACCCATTCCTCAATCATCATTTCCATCTGCTGGTCAAGTATCTACTTATTTCTAGAGTCAGTTCAAAAGTGAACTGTT